ATGGCATATTCTTATGTATTATACGGCCGCACACACAATTTTTAGCAACACAACGCATACACACACCCTAACAACGCATGCAGCATAATTTTACAACAATACGCGTACACGCACAATTTCTCACCATATGCGCATGAACGCGTACATGCTCATACGTGTACATGCACATACTCGTATACGCACGCACGCACACAAACACGCGTGCACCTCCGCATGCACGCACCTCCCACACGGCCGCGACCCCACCCCCCCCCTCCCCTTCACCCTAACATCACGCACACGCCATACCAATCACACTCTGTCCCTCCCCCACCATGACCAAATCACCCCCCCAAGCCATCAATAACCAACCATACGCAACGGCACGCACCACAGACAACACAAACCACCGACTAACTAACCAATTCACGACCTCAATAACTGGATCAATCACTACGCATTGCACCAGGCCTCAACACACAACACCATTCACATACAAAATTATTATAGAATCGGCGACCGCATGGCACGTCACCGTGCAGCACGCACGCATGCACACACACATACATACGCATGCACCACACTCCACACACCCACGCTGATACTCTCTTATTGCTATACTTGAATGTCATGCCATGTTGTTAACGTTTGATTTATAATTGCAGGCCAGGACTTCTAGACAATGTGGAGCTGGTGATGAGGATGATGATCAAGAGGACTGATTTGTTTTTTTACCTTTGAAAACAATGAATGAGTGTGTTGTATAAACAATACTTATCATGGTGTGTACTGTATAAACAACGCTTACTATGTTGGGATATTTTAATTAAATTATGTGTTATATATGCGTGAGAATGAATATTATACTGCTGATTGAACAGGATTTTAAATTTATTATATTATTGTACAGGTTTTTTCAATTTTCAAATTATTTTTTAAAAAAATATTGGAAGCTTTTAGCAACGGATTATCCGTCGCTAAATACACTTTTAGCGACGGAAAATAGATAATATTAACGACGGATTTTCCGTCGCTAAAGTTAATAGCGACGGAATATTCGTTTTTTTTATTTTTTTTATTTTTTCAAAAATAGTAATTAGCGACGGATTTTCCGTCGCTAATAGTTATTAGCGACGGATTTTCCGTAGCTAAAACATGTTTTAGCTACGGAAAATCCGTCGCTAAAGTTTTTTTAATTTTTTTAAATAAAGTATAGCGACGGATTATCCGTCGCTAATGTTTCGTCGCTAAAATTTAGCGACGGAATATCCGTCGCTAAAACACATGTTCGCTACCCTCACTATACGGACGATATTTTAGCGACGGAATTTTATATTTTCCGTCGCTAAAGGTTTTAGCGACGGATTTTCTACTTTTAGCGACGGATTTTTCCGTCGCTAAAAGTTATGTTTCCAGCAGTGCACGCTTCTGAGACAGTTGTAACTGTCTTGGAAATAGGAAGCTGTCTTGCGCTTCTGAGACAGTTGTAACTGTCTCGGAAATGGGAATCCTCCAATGGGACTTCTTTTCAACTTCTGACTTCAGTTATTGTTCATAAGGGCTATAAATACCCCTAGGATCATTATTGACGAGGACAAAGCATTTTGGAGCAGATTAAGCAGAGAGATTTGAGCAATTTGGGGAATTCCAAGCAAGAAAGAGAGAGTCTTCATCACATGCAAACCTTTTTAGAGTTCTTGTGATTTCTTAAGATCTAAGCTTTGATTTGATCTTAAGAAGAGTGTTCATCTTACCTCGATAAGATATTCACTTCTTTTTCTTACTTCTAAACGAAGCAAGAATCCCTAAATAGCTTTCACGGTTCAATCTGAATCTGTGATTCGGTGGTCCACGGGCTAACGCACCCCCGGCACAGGTAAAGATCTTACGCAAACAGCGATCCAAAATGATTTTGCATGTGTTTCTAGGAAGTTGTTTGTTTGTAACGAGAAGTCTTATAAAAAGATTTATTTCTCAGAATTCATTGTATTCGATAAACGAGTTGTAATGAGTTTACGAGAAGTCTTATAAAAAGATTTATTTCTCAGAATTCATTGTATTCGATAAACGAGTTGTAATGAGTTTAATAAATAAACTAATCAGAATTCATTGTATTCGATAAACGAGTTGTAATGAGTTTAATAAATAAACTAATTTCTGACGCAAACATTAATCATTTGATTTGACCTAGTATTTGTTATGTGAAGGGTAGGAGGGGGGGGGATTTGGGGAGGAGATTATATAGGGAGCGAAATAAAACAGATGAAAGTTGTAGGGGTTCATGATAACTTGTTGCAGGTATTAAGAGGAGCTCACTTGTCAAATGTGTTAATGCAGGAAAAAAAGTTTTCCAAACTGTTAATTCTCTTCTTTATGAAATGTTTCCATCAGAGGGACATTAAATTTTTACTCATTAGAAAATCTAAGCTTTATGAGGACCACTTAAGGTACAATTGGATAAGTGTGAACTATTTTCTATCTTGGTTTGTGTCTCTTAGGCACTATATACTATTAAAGTCTAAATAAAACGTTTCATCTGTGCCTTTACATATGCGCACATAAATGGCAAGTTATTGTTGACAAATTGATTAGATAACGATTAATTTATTAATTTAACTAGAGTTACATAATTAATTGTTTTAATCTATCTACCCTTTAAAAGAGCCAGTTCCTGAAAAACTTTCCCCTTCCCAAATTAACCTTCAACCATTTAAAATATACCCAACTTCTCCCTTATAAGCGTTACACAAATTTCGTCATCAGCAACGGAAATCAGAAGCCCTAAAATTTACGTCGATTATGCCTTTCTCTTCGCCGAAGAGTTCATCGGTTACCCTTCTCGCCGTCCCACGATCTTCCAGTCATCAATTTGCAAAGATGAGTATTATAGCCCTAATCATCAACGCGACGCCTCCGCATTCATCTCCACAATTTTTAGAATTTTGGCATTCAGCAAGGAACGCGACGCCTCAACGCGACGCCTCCGCATTCATCTCCACAATTTTTAGAATTTTGGCATTCAGCAAGGAACGCGACGCCTCAGCATTCATCTCCACAGTTTTCTGAATTTTGGCATTCAGTAAGGAATTCTACCTATGATTTGAAGAAGGTTTCTTCTTGGTCTTCACTCCTCTATACAAAACCCTAGCTCTAAGCGCTTTTTGTTCTTCAGTCCTCTCATTTTGTTCTAATTTTCCCCTAATTCTAGATTTCCTACAGTTTCAAGCGACAAGGGTTTCAATATTCGAACAGCAGCTGTATCGAGATTGGAAAGTAAGTTCAGTTGAGTTGAATTCTGTTTTTTTTTTCAGGTTGTCATTTCGGTTGTGATTTCTTGCCTGAATTAGGTGATTTCATTAGACTTGGGTATGATGCTTGAATTGGAAGATGTACATAGATAAAGATCTTTGTAAATGTACATAAAAATTGCTCCTTTTTATTTTTTTTAACTGATCAGGCCTTTGGCTCACCATTTTTTTTATGTTGGGAACTAATTTATTATTTAGTGCAATTGAGTGAGCGAGACACCAATAAGTAGAGAAATATTTTATTCTCCTCATGTTATTATTTTTCATATAATTCACAGAATATTTTTTATAGATGAATCATATATAATTTGTTCTTGTTCAGTTCATCCAATTCTCAAGTAAGTTTACAGGATATCGGATTGTATACTTAGATATGATTGTTATTTCTTTTGTTTATGATTTTTTTTGGTACTTGATTATTTATCAATTAATTCTTTCTTGTATTGTGAGACTTACATGAAGTTTCTGTCAAGGTGCCCGACGCTTGACAAAGATTGGGGCTTGCGG